ATATGAAGACTGCACATAGAAATGATTGAAGCCAAGACCTTCATAACATTTATTAGAATGTGTACTCTCTATTGAAATGTGAATGTTTAAGTTCCGACATTAAACTAATCCTCCATAAAGCACTGATTAGATCAGTAAAAACTTAATGCTTGCCCTGCCTGGTAATTTGAGGCAGACACCTACCTCTTAAAATTGCAGCACCTGTAGAACAAGGCTGTCTGCAGCATTGGAAGTTTTCCAAGGTGCACACCCGTCTGCAATTTGCATGCAGCTTTCTACCTTTACTATATATGTGGTTATATAACAAAATTATGCAGGCAACAAGCAGAACTCATACAAAATCATGAGAATGAATGTGTTCACAGCATAGGACAAGGCGAAACTAGACATAGAAAATGTATGATGCTTAAACTCAACAGAAGTCAAGCTTACAACCATTCAAGTGACTAAGCTGCTGTTGTAGCATAAGATAAGCAAGAAAGGCATGATCTGCTCTGAGAAGCCTGGACTGACAGAGGACTTGTATATAGTGCAAAGGAAGAATTTTCAGTAACATTTTATATGTGCAATGTGTACACTTGACAAAGGCCAAGCCTATCCATGAGAGACAAACCCATCCTCCCATCAGAGAGGATGTTACATAAGGAATATGACCACATGGGTTGCATAGAAAACAAAGCTCTAGTCGCAAGCCTCAGGGGGGCTTGAGGCCATGACAAACTGTTTGGCAGTAAACCACCAATCATAAAGAAACTGACTCTGATGGAGAGTAGACGGAGTTCGAGCACTGAGTGAGTCATGGGACAGTTGCAGTTATGAGTCGACATTTGGGGCAAGGCGTAAGTTGAGAGTTATGGCCATGAGGAGCTGTGAGACAGTTGCTAGCCATTAAGGACATGAGCACAGAAGCAGAAGACATAGCAAACTGCAAAGCTTAATGTGTGCTGTAGTGAGAAGTCAAGTGCATGAGTCCGCAAGAACACTATAATTAGTTGTAGTTAACAATTTTTAAGAGTTCAGTAAATCCATTTTGCTCTCCAACCTCCATGTCTAGTCACTAAAGCATGACAATATGAAGTGAGGTTGGTGGCTGAATGAGAGCTTTGGCAGTGGATGTGGTTGGCTTTTTCAGAAAGCTCATGTTAGGCTGGCTCATCTTTCATTTGCAGCCCTTACACGCTTGCAACAATTGTATGAACCCTCACTTGAAAGTCAGACTATGTTCCATAAGTGGATTATTTGCATGAAAAGCTGTGAATACGTGGAAGCCAGGAGCAATGTCTTGCCAAGGTTAGGTAGTCTCACTTTCTTTTTTCCATGACTTCAATATTGTTTTCATTGTCATCATCACTACTCGATCAGATTCTCAAGGTCCTCTTGCAACTCCATGTGTGATTGAACCTCATTAGGCTGCATGTTACCACCCAGTCATCATTGAAGATCCAGAGTGCATTTCACTTTTTCGTCAATGAAAACCCTTGGAAGTCATCACTGGCTCCTTCAAAAGTTTATACCAGAATGCTTTACATGCTTACTGCTTCATTTCATCCAGCAATTCCATGATGACAGGGATGCACTCAGAGTTCACGTGTGCTGTAGTGATTTGTAAAATGCGGAAATCAGCGATAGTGCTATAATTAAGTGTAGTCATGAGTCATGTGTTAAGGTGGTCAATAAAACCAATCTCCAATCCAAAACCCTGTTGAGAGTCACTCATACACGTGACAGTATGCTATTGTTTGTACATATGTTACTATATTTTATCATAAAGGGACTCTGTAGTTGTAAAAATTAAGACTAAATACAGGGTGGGGCGCAGAAACTTCCTTTTTGTGAAGATGCATTGTGAAGGGAGGGGAGGTTGCAGAAGAGTGGGGATAGGCTCGGCGAATGCAGCAGTCGCAGAAGTTTCTGTCTAATACCCCTCAGTAGGAAACATGAGGTGGACAAATGAGCAGCATGCATTTGCTGTTGGAGCCTATTTTTCAAACAACCATTCCTACATGGCAGTGCAGCGTCTGTTCCATACTCACTTCGGAATTAAGCCCAGAGGTCCGGTTCCTGACCGGAAATCGATTGTTTTCTGGGTAGAGAACTTTAGGATAAACGGGAGTGTGGTGAAAAAATCATCAGGATGACAGCGGGCCGTTACGACGCCAAAAAATGTGGAGGCAGTTCGACAGTTGATTTTGAGATCTCCAAGACGCTCCGCTCGCAAACATGCAGTCGCCCTAGACATATCCAATCATTCAATGAGCTGAATTCTTCATGAACATCTTCATTTCCATCCCTATAAGATGGTTGTTGTGCAAGAATTGTCACCACGTGATTTCCAGAACCGAACAACAGCGTGCGAAACTTTATTGGAAACTTTACCCCCTGATGCACTTGTTTTCTTTAGTGATGAGGCACATTTTCACCTATCCAGATATGTCATCAAGCAGAATTTGTGCTATTGGAGTGGTAACAATCCCAGAGAACTCCATGAGAGGCCACCTCACAGTGATAAGGTGACAGTATGGTGTGTTGTTGAGAGTTGGAGTTATTGGCCCTTATTTTTTTGAAGATGACAATCATGCAGTTACTGTCAATTCACAGTGGTATGTGGACATGATTAAAAACTTTTTCAAACCAGCTCTTGAAGAAATACATCTAGGAAATGTCTGGTTCCAACAGGATAGTGCCACAGCCCACACAGCCCAAACTTCGATGACAGTTTTGAGGGCAAAGTTCCCCGGACGGCTCATCTTGCTTCGAGGTGACATCCTGTGGGCAGGGCACTCACCTGATCTAACACCCTGTGATTTTTTTTATCGGGATACCTCAAGGCAGAGGTTTTTAAACATAGTCCCACAAACCCGCTTCAGCTGAAGAACGTTATTCGGCAGGAAGTAGCCCAAATTCCAGTGCACATGTTGGAACGTGCAGAGGGGAACTTCAGAAAACGGTTGCATCAGTGCATAGAGAACGGTGGCCATCACCTTCAAGATATTTTGTTTAAACCTACATGATTTAAAACTTTAAAGTATGTTCTTTCATTAGCTAAACATAAATTTTGTGTATCAGCAATAATTTTTCTTTTATTCGCCTTCAAAAAAAGTAAGTTTCTGCATCCTGCCCTGTAGTTAATTCATTAAAAATAAGTTCTATATATCAAGAGTAAATGCTTAATATCAGTTAAAATAAGATTAGTAGGCAGAAGAATATATTGGTGGCCTTCTGTTGTTGGTTATGTCTAATATTTTACCGACTGTTGTATTGTGAGCCATATGTTATGTGTAATCCAGTGGAAGAATGTGGTAGTGTGTGGGATGTGCTATGGTGGACTTACTCCAATTAAGCGAGTTACACTTGATGTACTTTTACTATTTATTTATGTGTAGGTAAATGGTACATTTGTCCTTGTGCTTTACTAGTTAAGCAGTATGTCATGGAGGCATGGCTCCACCTTTCTTGACCTTGGCACTAGATGGAGGTGAGTGGTCAGCTTTACGCCCCTGCTGCTTTACCTACAAGGAAAAAGCCCCTAGTACTTATTGGCTAGGAGAAGCAGCCTCCGTAGTCTAGAGGTAACGTTCCCACCTCATGACTCGTGGTACGCGGGTTCAAACCCGGCGGAGGTCGTGGAATTTTCAAGGGCCGAAAAATTCAGGGAACAAGTACTCCAGGAGGGACTTTAAGCCGTGGGTCCCATGTCGTAGCTTAATGGCACGTAAAAGAACGTCATATCTCCAAAGGAGGTCACTGAGCCAAATTCAAGGACGTTTCCCGCCCAACAATAGTCTCTAACGCTTCTGATAGATGGGGGAAGCATTATAGATACCGCCAAGCCAGTAGAGGCCGAACTCGCTGGCTCGGTCGGGACTGATGGCACGCACCAATATTGGTAGGGTATAGAGACTGGTAGAATATCATAGAGGGAAGCACAATAGATCAAACTGGTCGCAGTGCATGGGGAAACCCACCCTCTCCAATAACTAACTAACTATTGGATAGGAGGCTGGGGGGGGGGCCACAGAGTCTGGTCACTCTGGAGATGAGAGAATCTTGTACAGCCTGGAATTGAACCTGGCCACCCAGCCCATAACCCATTCTATACCAACTAAGCTATCCCAACTCCATTTATATATAGAGATCTGTAAATTAAGTGATTTATTAAACCATTATAATACAAGTACATAGTAGTTTGCTGATGGTTTCATGCATAAATCAATTTGGTGAAAACAGCAAGATTTAAGGCTCTCACACCAGTGAGTATCACTGTTATAGTCATTGGGGGTGTGATATCATGTAGCTTGGTAGAGGAGTACGAGTGTTTCAGAAAAACCTGCTGCCTCTGTCATCAAGGTAGAAGAGCATCCAGCACTTTCTATGCTGAAGCATCATCTTCCTCTGAAACACTGGTGTCCATGTACCAAACGATACAACAATACAGTTATTAAAGTACAGACATGTAGTTTAAAATAAAAACTTCGTTACAATGTTTAGAGCCAAAGATTGAGGCAAAATGTACCACCAGAATGTTGGCATCCACGTATAAGATTACATGGTGTCACAATCTGGAAGACTACAATGTAAGTATTGTAAAAGCTTCAGATCTTATGTGTGTACAGTAATTTCATAATAGCCTTAATTATATGTACAAATATGCATTTTAACATTGCCATTCTGTAAAGAAAATTGACTCAAGCAGAAGAACTTCTGACTTGTGTTCAGAAGGTGCCCAGTTTGTATCCCTGCAGGACACTGACTATCCTGGTGGAGGGGTTTCCTCAGTCCTTCCAGCAGAATGCCATGATAGTACTTCAAAATATACCAGCTTCTTTCCACTTATCGACCAATTTGTTATTAACTGTTATCAAATCATTTGATGCTCTATAATTCTGAGTTACTGACAGGGTCATTGAATAAACAAAACATTCAAATAAGAATGTTGTCATTCTCTTAACACTGAAAATCATTTCAAACCACTGATGTTAACACATATTTTCATGTGCTAGGTACAACACCCTGACAGACAAATGGGATTACATGACCTCAATGAGCATACCTCGAAGTCACTGCAGTGCCACTGTGTATAAAAATTGCATATACTGTCTGGGTGGACGTGACAGAACAGAAATCCTTGCCACTGTGGAAATGTTTGAGCCAGATGCCAACAGATGGAACTGGCAGACTTCAATGAAAATGGAGAGAAGTGGAGCAGTTGCTGCCACCCTCTTTATACCTTGTTATAGTTAAACTTAATAACGAGGTTGGTGTTTCTCAGGCAAGTTTGCTGCAGCATATAGTTCATGTGAAATACTAAGATACAATTTTATTCAGCTGTGTGTTTCACTGTTAAATTGTAAATAATTATTTGCTGGGTTACTGAAATTATTATTTATTTGTATGAAAAGTCAGTTCTAACAGTTAGAGCACCAAGCTGTATAATAAACACATATAGTCTGGGTGGACATGACAGCATCCGCTAACTTAAGACTATTGAGAGTTTAATCCAAATGTCAACAGATAGTACTGTGTGCATGCAATGCACAACTTTATATATAAAGTGTTTTATTTCTGTCCACCCAGCATGTGAAATACTCGGATACAATTTTATTTGGCCATGAGCTTCACTGTACCTTTTCATCATCAACATCATCGTCATCATCATGTTATTTACATATTGTTTGTGAAATGTCTTTTTAAATTTTACAGTGATGAATAATTATTTCCTCACTTAATAAATTCATTTTGTTACATTGTATGAAGTCAGTTATACCACTTACAGTGAAGGTTACTCAAAATTTTTTGATCTTATGACACAGTTATGTGTAATTACGTACTGAAACACTGAATAAAATCAGCTTATAAAGGAGGAAAACTTAAGATAGTTTTAATATCTCCTTCTGTCACAATACCCTCTCTTGGTCCCTTGTCATGCACCCATTCCCCAAAATGTCCTGATTTATTTATTTCAGCAAAACTTTTAATTCCAACAGCAATTCCTGACACAGTGTAAATAATATCTTTGTTTATATTAATGATATTTTTCCATCTTACAACACTTTCCCTTCATTGTGAAAATCTGATATATGGTATCATATTTTTTACTAACACATCCGCCAATGTGTTTCATTGTACAGTGTCATTGTCAATGTCGTCATCATCATCAGGTTATATATAACTCTATATTGTTTGTGGAATGTCACTCATAAATTGTACGGTGATGTATAATTATATCCTTACAATTTATTTTTTGCATTGTATGAAAAGTCAGTTATACCATTTACGGGTAAAGACAAAGTTATTGAACTTAAAACTTTGTTGATCTTATGACAAAATTATGTGTAGTTATATACTGACACCCTCTTAAGAGGATTTCGAAAAGAACCAAACAAAATCAGCTTACAGAGGAGGAAAACTGAAGATAGTTTTATTATCTTCATCTGTCACAATACCCTCTCTTAGTCCCTTGTCATGCACTGATTCCCAAAAATGTCCTGTTTTATTTATTTCAGCATCTTTTAATTCCAATGGCAAATCTTTGTTTATATTCATTATATTAATAATTTTTTATTTGTTTCATTCTGGTCCGTCACACTAACAATTATAAGTACAAACCACTCCGTCCAATGTGTCATATAAGTTTTTACTACGTTAAAACTTATCTCCCTTACATGTTTCGGTCCTTGCAGGCCATCTTCAGAGGGAACATCATTACAAACTGGAAACTACCATCACAATAGGTGTTTTGATTTAAAATACATACACTTATATCCTATAATGCACAGTACACATAAAGTCGGACGTTTCACAATCACAGCAGCTTCCTGATGTTGTAAAGTTTTTAAAAGTTTCTAGATGTTATTTAAAAAACACGAACAAACCCTGGACAACATCAAGAACCTCCTCATCAAGACAGACAGGCGGCACAAAATCTGCCCCATACAAGAAGAATGATAGGAGTACGGACACGAACCTATGTGGTTTAAAAATTTTAACTACTGACAAAAAAGGTTTTTTAACGTCCATTATTTATCGTCCGTCAATACTGCAACACTTATTTGTTCACTACTTAATTTTAATTTTAGTTTATCATTATACACTTAGACACTGCATGTTTCGGCCCCAAACGGCCATCTTCAGGTGTCCTGATATATTACAAACATTTTTCATTAAATTATGTTAAAACTCCTACACTGTCCTAGTTCGTGTTCAGATCACATGCTGTAGTCCACTTGTCAAGGTACTGACGGACGATAAATAATGGACGTTAAGTTGAACAATTGCAACGGGATGCTGAGAATATCTGGACAGAAGAGGAATGAAATAATATGAGGCTGCAGAAAACT